CCCCTAGCCTCGAATCACCTTCCTTCATCTCGAATCTTCATTTGAAGATTTGAGTCGAACTCTGACCTACACCAAACCTCACCATATTCGTACCAGACACTCCCCTGACCTCCCTCGTGACCAAACCGAGCTTGGTTTGGTCCGAATCTACCCACAACTCCTAGAATCTCAAATCTGAAGAGCCAAACCTTAGAACACCAGAACCTGGGGAATCTGACTTGTTTCATAGAGGGTTTGGGGTCTAATAGACTTCAATCAGGGTGTTCTCGGTTGAGAACACCCCGATTAAAGTCTGTTCGGCTTCAAAAGGCCAAATCTGATTCGGACCTGGGTCGACTTTTCTTAAAAGTTTTCAGTAAGTTTTTCTTTTCTTTTTATGTTTCATTTGCGTGCTGATTAAGTTTATTAGCATGTTTCTGTTGTGTTTGTTTGGTATTTTCTGGTATNTTCAAGGTGTTTTCGGTTGAGAACACCCCGATTAAAGTCTGTTCGGCTTCAAAAGGCCAAATCTGATTCGGACCTGGGTCAACTTTTCTTAAAAAGTTTTCAGTAAGTTTTTCTTTTCTTTTTATGTTTCATTTGCATGCTGATTAAGTTTATTAGCATGTTTCTGTTGTGTTTATTTGGTTTTTCTGGTATTTTTCTTAAATTCCTTCCACCTCTGACAAAGACATTTTACTTGATTGTTTGTTCTTCTCTGTATGTGAATACATCTGGTGATATACATGCTCGTCAATTAGATTTGTTCGTCCAATAGTTAATTCATATAGGTTCCCAGTAATTGAACAAAAGTTGTCTGAAGCCATTCAGGACCCTGTACGTATTGTTTATATGAACGACTGATTATTATGTGTTACGATTAATATAGTCGAGTCGATGTATGTCGTCAATTAGTTTCAGCCATTAATGGTAACAACTTGATTCATGCTGTTTGTTTCTGCTGTGATCGTATTTGAATTCCATTAGGAACTGAATTGTGTTGCCTATTGATTTTGTTCAATTTGAATCAAAAACACATTTAGGGGGTAAGTTATAATGGCAGTTCAGACTTTGGTCTTAAATGGATGGCATGTTTGCTTGGTTTAGATTGTGGGTAGCATGTGTATGGTCAGCTGTTAAGGAATTAAAATAATTGGACAGCATGTGCTGTCAGATTATATTCCTGCTACCCATACTTTGGATAAATAAATAAGAGATTAGGACACTTTAACAACAAAATAGAGAGGGGCTGTCAGGGATCTCATGGGAGGTCTGGTTATTTAAAATAGCTGAGTGGAAAAACAGCAGGGAGGGGGGAATTCTGAGTTGTCAAACAGACTGTAAAGTGCTGAGTTTAGGCTATAAAAGAGGCAGACCTTCCATTAGAAGGGGAGATTTTTAGAGCCTGGAGAGAAGGTTTTCTTAAAAAAGCTTGAAAGAAAGAAACATAAATTCTCAGAATATTGTAACCAAACACTGTCTGAAACCTACATAAGAATTCAAGCTGGTAAAAGCTGTCTTGGCCAATTGTTGTTGTTTATTTGCCAAGTTATTTGTGATCATTGCATTGCTGTTGCTATTGTCGTGAATATTCTGGTTTTCTCGGTTGTTTTCTACTCTGTTTTCTGGGATTTTCTGCGTGGTGCTTTATCACTTGAAGGCTTCATAATTGAGGCTGGTTATTGTTGTTGGTTGTTGTTGTTGTTGTGTTTGCTGCTTGGTTGCCCGTTGCTGACATCTTTCTTCTTCTCCTGCTTTTGTTCCTCTATACCAGGTACACGACTAATACTGTCTATGTAACTTGAAAGTTTGAGCATGAATACAAAAGAGAAGATTTGAAGACGTTTAGGTCCACATGTAGTTGTTATATCGAGTGTCATGTAGAGTGTATTGGTTTACATTCTTATTAGGTACTGGAGTTGGTCATTTCATATAGTGAATGTAAATGTAGGATAATTTAATATCATATGGTGTGTAATTTGACAGATAAGAGGATTGGCAGTATAATAGGCTATAACCTGGAAGTGAGTTGTGTTTTTGTGATTGGCATGTCCTTAAATGTATGTCAAAACATAAAACTATCCATGTTAGTTAATTTCGTTTCCTTTTGATAAACTGTCTCATTATAATTGTCGAACCACACCCTTATAACAAATAGCACAAGTCTGCGTTCCTCAACCTCACGGGGGCGAGCCTAGGTCGAAATAGACCGGGCAGGCTCGCATCGGATAAACAGTAGCCCAGGTCTGGCCCATCCCGCATGAGCTGGATTTGGGCCCATAATGTTCGATTAGCTGTCCGTGCGCATAGCCACGTTTTTCTTGTTCTGAAAAAGCATTTTGAATCCTGCTATAAATAACCTGCAAGCATGTAATTAACTAGGGCTATCTCTGTTTTCAATTAGTAGAGACAAACGCGACAAGAAACGTAGTTGCTATAGGATATCCTTTTAAAATAAGGACGAGATGAGCCTCGACAAATAAAAACGCACAAGCTGCGGGGCCCTCATTAAATGTATATATCGAAGCATTCAGCTTCCAAGGCGGGTCGTTTAGCAAATCTCACGACCCCCCCGGAATAATAACGCGATAGTCTCTTTTAGGCGCGCCTTTAATAATCTATCCTCTTAAACTCGGGTGTGAATTTCATGCGACCCAAATCCAAATCCCAAAACATCAAATAAAATATGTTCCGGATTGTGGGTGCATTTCATGTGACGCAGTCCAAAGACATGTTTTAAGCGACGTTCACATTCCNTCTTGTTCTGAAAAAGCATTTTGAATCCTGCTATAAATAACCTGCAAGCATGTAATTAACTAGGGCTATCTCTGTTTTCAATTAGTAGAGACAAACGCGNAACCTCACGGGGGCGAGCCTAGGTCGAAATAGACCGGGCAGGCTCGCATCGGATAAACAGTAGCCCAGGTCTGGCCCATCCCGCATGAGCTGGATTTGGGCCCATAATGTTCGATTAGCTGTCCNTTCTCCCGGGTTAACAGAATTCCTTATCCGGATTTCTGGTACGCAGACTGTAATATAGAGTCATTCTTTTCCTCGATTCGGGATTAAAATTGGTGACTTGGGACACCTAAATCTCCCAAGTGGCGACTCTGAAATAAATAAATAAATCCCGTTTCGATTGTCCTTTAATTGGAAAAAACTCCCTTGTACCCTCGCGGGTACGGAAAAAGGAGGTGTGACAATGGTGCCTTAAATGTAGGATGTAACTATAATTAGATATTTGGCTATAAAGTATAAAAGGTATCTATAGGATGTAATATTTTAAAATGGTATTTATTTAAAATAAATAGGGTACTAAGGTTTTCTATAGGGTGTAAACATTCCTATATTTTTTCCTCTAGTAGCTGCTGTAAGTATGTTGGCTTTGCACCTAATCGTTCATACATTAAATATCAACAATTAATATACTATTCCGATGGTAATAAATACATATCTGTATTTATAATTGTATGCTATCAAGAATTATATATTGTCAAAGCATATAACTTACACTCATACAAATTATACTTTTGACAAAGAAGATAACGTATTTTTAACAGGCAATCCTTATTCTTTAGATTAATTTTTTACTTTTCATTACCGATTATCTGTAAATTGTCTTTTAATTGTGATTGGTAGAGTGACAGTCAATATAGAATTAGAAACTTTGACGAAGTACTTTTGGGTCTTACTTGTTATAGTAGACACACAAAATGCCAATTTGAATTATAGCCATTATATTAACCATATGCTAGCTTTTAATTAGTGTTTGCAGGGGAAGTGCGTGCATCTATCTGAGCGAATTGATTTTTTACCGCAAATTGAGTTCTCAAGTGACCTATCAAGGTCGCTATTTTTCGTCTCCATAGGCAGTAATGGCTACACCAACAACTACCTTAAGCCTTCATTTTATGACTCTAGCAAATGTTACTCTCCTAGATCTTTTGCTAAACTTCTCACTGATACACTTCTTCAACAGTTTCAGGCAAGCCCTTCTACATCTGGAAATTGCCACCAAATCTAAGTACAGAATCCATCCTCTATTCTCTGAAGATTATGGAACTACATCGAATTTTAAAATTAGAATTTGGATATTTAAACTATACTGACCTGTTGTTTTAGATGAAATTGGCTAACACAGTCGACCAAAAGATTCCAACCATAATCAATAGAGATACATGCATTCCACAATCAGAAACCCAAATAAGTCCGATGCATACTAAGTATAGAGGAAAACAAACATTTGAGACAGAAAGAAAGGAAAGAGAGAAAGTTTACCTTTGTTTCCGGTGAAGAGCTTTTAATAGTCTCTCCTTCCTGACTTGCACTCTTCTCCCTCATGCCTTACTATCTAACCCCAAGTTTCATATCAGATTTAAAGAGCATCAAGAACAAAATGGATTGGAGTATATTTTTGAGAAACTGAAGAGACGGGAAACAAACAAAGGAATAATATATGGCTGAGTAAGAAATGAAGATGTGTTGGCTGCAAAAATAAAAGCTGCCGCAGGGAACAATATCAACTAAGTAATTGAAATGACTAAATTACCCTCAGGTTTGAATTAAATTCCACGAAGCACACACGTCGAAACCTAGCTCTTTAACAGAGATACATGCATTCCACAATCAGAAACCCAAATAAGCCTACTACATAGTCCTGACTAAATATAGAGGAAAGCAAACACTCGAAACGGAAAGAAAGGAAAGAGAGAAAGTTTACCTTTGTTTCTGGTGAATAGCTTTAAATAGTCTCTCCTTCCTGACGTGCACTCTTCTCCCTTGTGCTTTACTATCTAACCCCAAGTTTCATATCAGATTTAAAGAGCATCAAGAACAAAATGAATTGGAGTATATCTTTGAAAAACTGAAGAGACGGGAAACAAACAAAGGAATAATATACGACTGAGTAAGAAATGAAGATGTTTTGGCTGCAAAAACAAAAGCCACCGCAGAAAACAATATCAACTAAGTAATTGAAATGACTAAATTACCCTCAAGTTTGAATTGAATTCCACGAAGCACACACGTCAAAACCTAGCTCTTCTAATCTATTTATATTGGACGATACTGTAAATTAAGTTAATTTCCTATTATTTAGAACTTCAAAATCAACTAAAATTTTGATTATTAAATTTTTCTTATTTTAACTTTGAATAAACTCCTAACATTTAGGTTACATAAATTTTTTTTCTTATTTTATTTGTGTAAATTAATATAGCTTCTTACTAACACGTACATTACATATTTACTAATGAAAATATATCTATTCTAAGCCTTTAAAGTAATTTACAAATGACATACCTATATTTGAAAATAATAATAGCTTATAGTAATAATAAATATTACTATAAGCTTATAGTAATTTACAAATCAAAGTAATTTACAAATGACATACCTATATTTGAAAATAATAATAGCTTATAGTAATAATAAATATGCTTTAAGTTTTTTACATGTTGTAATATATACTTATATCAAATCAAAGCTCAATTACAATATTGGATAAGTGAAACATATATATGATACTCTAATTTATAAATTGAAATTAATAGCAATAAATTATCCTGTAATTTATAAGAAATTTAAGTTAGTTTTAAGTAAATTTTCCTACATATTTCCTTAAAATCTTTCCTTATTTAAACAATGTAGGAAGTGAAAAGGTCGATTTAAATATTGTGAATCTTTATTTTTAATGAAACTTCAATACGAAATGTTGATCTATTGTTTTATCCTTCAAACATATATTTTACCTTGGACAAGATTATCATTTAATTATTTTTTATCTATACAATATTAAAAGCACGAAGGCCCTTAGTGAAATGTTGTTCGCTTTTTTTACCCTTCAAGAATAGATTTATATTGGACGATACTGTATATTAAGTTAATTTCCTATTATTTAGCACTTCAAAATCAACTAAAATTTTGATTATTAAATTTTCCTTATTTGAAGTTTGAATAAACTCCTAACATTTAGGTTACATAATTTTTTTTTCTTATTTTATTTGTGTAAATTAACATAGCTTTTGACTAACACGTTACATCACATATTTACTAATCAAAATATATCTATTCTAAGTCTTTAAAGTAATTTACAAATGACATACCTATATTTGAAAATAATAATAGCTTATAGTAATAATAAATATGCTTTAAGTTTTTTACATGTTGTAATATATACTTATATCAAATCAAAGCTCAATTACAATATTGGATAAGTGAAACATATATATGATACTCTAATTTATAAATTGAAATTAATAGCAATAAATTATATTGTAATTTATAAGAAATTTAAGTTAGTTTTAAGTAAATTTTCCTACATATTTCCTTAAAATCTTTCCTTATTTAAACAATGTAGGAAGTGAAAAGGTCGATTTAAATTTTGTGAATCTTTATTTTTAATGAAACTTCAATACGAAATGTTGATCTATTGTTTTATCCTTCAAACATATATTTTACCTTGGACAAGATTATCATTTACTTATTTTTTTAATATCTTAGGACTTTGAAATTAACTAAAATTATTATTAAATCTTTCTTCATTTAAAATATGTAGGAAATACTAATAACTACTCTTTCTAACCAAATTTATTGGCATTGTTTATCGGGCGAAGTGCACCAATAGTCACTTTTAAGCCCGTTATTTAAATTATATCCACAATTTATAATGTATTAAAAGATTAGCCAATTCACCCAAACTTCACGACTAAGTGTCCTGAATTTTTGAGCTGCTAATTTGAAATTCAGGACTAAGTGTCCTGAATTTTTGAACTACTAATTCAAAATTCAGGACATAAGATTCGAATTTCTGGACACAATTTTTGAACTTTAGGACACGATGTCCTGAAGTTTGAACTTTGAGGTTTAAACTCTTGGATGATGTGTCCTGAAGTTTGAGCACAATTGATTAATATTTAAATACATTGTAAACCGTAAATATATTTTAAACATCATGCTTAAAAATGACTTCCTTGTATCATTTTTACTTGTTTAACTGAGCACGAAATTTAAGAAAAAAGATTTTTTTTAAAAATTTGTGGCCTAAACAAGCCACATATGTTTAAGCAACTATAAATCATCTTTTAAGAGTAAATTGAAAAAATTAACATTAAATTATATTTAAATAAAGAACTATGAATTCAATTTATGGGACAGATTAGAAAAGGAAGTAGTACACATAAGTTGAGACAGAATGAGTAGAAATTTAACATCTAATATTTTATCTTATATAAATCATTCATTAAATGAATTAGGTAATATAACTATAATTCTTTACGAAAATGTAGTAAGCCAAAAAAAAAAAAAAGTTCTTTTATAGAAGAATCATTAGAAATATATGGGTTCAACATTCTCTTAATTGCCTTCTGACACAACTAAAGAGTACAATATTTTTTAATAGCAATTAAGCAACTAAGATTAGTATAAATAAAAGGAAGAAAGAATAAAAAGGTGATGGTTCAACCAATGACTAACCCACATAGAAGTGGTGGCTTGGACTGGTAGCGTAACTGGTAAGCAAGGCACGACAACTGCTCTGTGAAGGGTAAGGGTCCAAATTTGTGGCACCCTTCACCGTCATAGGCTGTGAACCATGACTGTTCTCAGCACCTTATTGCCCCCGCTTGTATAACAAACTCGCGCTACTAAGCTCGGTGATCACGCCCAATTATGTCTTACAAAAAGGACCTTGCGGACGTTGCAAATATAACTTGAGTATTCTGCCTAGGGTCGAATCCACAGAGAGTTAACCTATCAATCACTATCTTTAGACCCACTAAACTCTTGAGAACCAATTCTCCAAACGTTGCTAAGGTTGTAAACAATAATGAGAAAACGCTAAGGTAATGACTTCCCCTATTGATGAAATCCCTTCTATTTATGCTTCATACAAATTGACCAACACCTCTCTATCAATCATTAACGCTCATCTTACCGTAAATCTCTCCCGAGTAATCACAGTAATATACTCAATGCACTCTCCCGAGATACACTGCTGGCTCTAATTAACACGGTTCACTTTAGATTGCACTCAAGGTTTCGTTATCCCTAATCCCGCCTTTAAACCCGCAGTTATAGATCCCTCTTATACTTTGGGAGTGGTGTTGTTCAACAATAACCTAAATATGCACTCTCTTCCGAGTTATACACACTAAATAGACACAACTAATTGAGGATCCTGTCAATTAACTACAACATGCACAAAGTTGAACAAATAAAGATTGAGACTAGCAATTTGTATTCACATAAACAAGAAGTTCATCCCCCAATAGGTTCCATCAAAACCTTAGACAAAGGATTTAGCTACTCATAACTATGGGTAAACAAACTAAAACAATATTCATCATAAAACTTGCAAGAAAAAACAAAGAAAAGAAGAAAGATGTTTTGGGTGATCCCTCCCAATTGTTTTTCCTTGCCAAAATACTCTCCAAATCAATACATGCCTCTCTTGGGAGAAGTCTAATGTTTAAAATAGGGTTTTGGGCTAAATATCCCGTGTTTTGCACTTTAGTCCCTGAAGTTCTCCGCCTCAGCCGCGGTTCTGCCGCGGTCGCGGTCAAACCGCGGCCAAACATGCTCTCTGATTCTCACTTTGTCTGCAACCATCTTCTACCG